TGTGTTTTTAGAACTCCAGCCCCCATCAAACAGGTGACACAGAGTAGAACTAGCACGTTACAAACTAGTGCTAACTCGGGCAAGGATCATACCATGCCTGAAAATAGAAGACAACGTAAAAGGCTTCAGAACAAGGCAGCCACAAGCGGTTTGCCACAATCCGTAGCACCCCGTCTATGTAAAGAAGGCTGTATTACGACACCCGACGGCTGTAGTGTTTGCGCTAAAGTTGTTTCGGTAGTCGATGAGGCATTTGCGTGCAACCTATGCAATCGATGGGCTCATTGCCACTGCGACACCAAGTCTCTCAACAACATTATAAGCTGATGAAGAGACAACCATGCAAGTGGTTCTGGTACATCTGTCCAGAGTGCAGGAAAATGCCCGCACTCCGCACAGAAGGCCTGAAGGAGATGCTCTCCGCCACGCAAAAGCTACCAGCATCCTCGAATAAAGTAGGGTTAACACCAAAGGATAACACAGAGAGACCTGGAAACAGACCTAGAGCTCCAGCTGCGGGCACGCCACCTCGTGTGGGGACCATATTAGGTCAAGTCTCCATACCTCCTACCCGGCCCCAGGGAAGTTCAAGTGCATGGCCAAAGACATCGACCGCTGAAGCCTCTACGAAACCCATTCCAAACACCCACACACCGTGACTGAGAAACAACCAGTGGAATTACTCAAACCCATTGGGAAGTCGGGCGTGCCACCCACAACGAACCCAGGTCACAGGAGGACCAACTCGATCATTTTGTTCAACGTCGATGTATCGACAGACTCATTGTTGGTCGAGAGGGAACGGTTTGACAGCCGAATGTGGACCGACTACTGTCAGATGCTAGGACTCCCCCCTCCCTGCAACTTTATGTCGCCTTTCTCGAGGAAGCCGTGCACCCCGAGATAAGCCACCCCCTTTACGTGTGTCCCTAAATACTGCCAAAGAGGCTGAAGACACACTCCTTCTCGCGACAACCGGACGTTGTTAATGCCTGTAAAATTCGGGCCAGGCCTGACAAGCCATGGTCAATAAGAGAGGAGGAGAGAAAGTCAGCGGTTGGAAATCCCAACAGAAACAACACTATAGTTGTACATGGGATTCCAGAATTGCCAAGTGACCGCTCGGTCAAAGATCGGTACTTTCACGACGTCCAACAATGGCAATGGCTCTCAACCAAAGTTGGTCTCAACAGTATACCGGCCAACAGCGTCAGTAGACTGCCAAGGCCAGCGCACCTGAAGACCATACCCAATCCCAGACTACTCGCCGTCCAGTTCGACTCATATGCCTCCCTCACAGACGTTCTACAGGCATGGTATAATGCGAAGGATCGCATGGGTGGCTCAATACGTATATGTGAAAGTAAGCCTAGACCCACAAGGCAAGAGGAGAGACGGCAACCACCAAGACCTCTGGAGTCAGTGGTCGTCACACAGGCGCTGACCAGTGAGTTAGATACATCAAGTAAAGAAGCCACCACTGCCACAGCCCCCACCCAAGTTAAAAGCAAAACACAAAGTCCTATGAGGACTGGCGAGGGTAGACCCAACCACATAAGCGCTCATCCTGCGAAAATACACAACCAGACCTCCCCTCACCAGGCACACTCTAATATGTATGTACAGCAACGTTAGGGGGCTAAGAGGGAAGGTAGCAGAAATGAGGACGCTGCGTGCACATCAGCACTCCGACATCATATTCATCACCGAATCCTGGCTCTCGCCAGACATCTCCGACGAAGAGATGCATGTTACTGGCATGGAACTCTTCCGCAGGGACAGGGAACATAGAGCAGGAGGGGAGTGGCTATCTACGTAAACTCCGTTTAAAGGCAAGGATGGTTAGCGATACGGCCTTAACCCAGCTCCCAGAGTCTCTATGGTGCTACTTCACTCTCCACAGTACCAAATACCTGCTCGGAGTCATATATCGGTCCCCCACCAGCTCCCCTACACATAAGGAAATGATCATCAAGGCTATCTTAACGACTTCCTCTGCAAATTACGATTCCGTAGTCATTGCCGGCGACTTCAACACCCCGTCCATCCTCTTCGAGACGGAAGGGAGACGCATCAGATCCTTCAATCAGAAGCTGAAGGATGCAATTAAGACTGCTGGCCTCTCAGAGAAAGTGGGTGATGCTACACGCTGGGGACCTAACGGAAACGCATCGCGCCTTGACTACGTTCTGACGAACGATGAACTTCTCATTGAGGATGTTTGCATCCAACCTCCCCTTGGCCTCAGTGACCACGCTGTAATCACCTTCTCCATGATAACTAGGGAGGCTCTGCAACTGGAGACGCCCAACACCTTCCCTTGCTACAGCAAGGCCAACTATGAGACCATGAGGGACTACCTCATGAATGCATCATGGCCAGTGGACTGGACTCATCTCACAATAGATGAACACTGGTTGGAGGTGAAGAAAATAATCACTGGGGCCATCAGTCACAGTGTACCAGAAGTAACACACAGACAATCAATGAGAACCTCATGGTTAAAGCGTGGGACAGAGAGGCTTATCCGGAGCAAGAAGCAGGCTTGGTTCAAGTGGCGTACATCACGCAGGGAGTCTGACTTCTTGAACTCAAAAGGATTCGCAATCTCTGTAACATTAGAGTGCGTAACGACAGATTTTCCTACCAAACAAACTTGGCAGCGAGGTTACAAAGCAACCCCAAAAACTTGTACCGCTTCATGTCAAGAAGAAAGTCGACCAGTAAGGGAGTGAATCTTGTCACAGGCCATGACGGGAGTGTGCTAAGCAGTCTAGAGATTGCCGAGCTTTTGAGCTCACACTTCCAAGCCCAACTCAGCACTGACACAAGATCCACACCGACCAGGTCGTAAATAACGAATACCTCTGTCACGTCTCTATTACAGAGAAAAAGGTGTTCGAGAAGCTATCTAGGCTACGTCCGGGCAAGTCCCCTGGCTGCGATAACCTGAAACCAGTGGTTCTGAAAAACTGCGCCGAGGTGCTTACTAAACCACTTCGCAACCTCTTTGAGCACTCAATAGACTCGTGCAAACTCCCTAAAGAATGGAAGAGTGCCATCTTGTCACCCATCTTCAAGGGAGGAGACAGAAAAAGCCCTGGCAGCTACAGGCCAATTGCCCTACTCCCTATTGTGTCGAAAGTGTTGGAAAGCCTGGTAGCTGACACCATCTGGGAATTCCTCAATAGGAAAACACTGTCCACACTGCTCAGCACGGCTTTCGTAGTGGTCGCTCATGTGCCACCAACTTACTAACCGCCTGGGACGACTGGACACAAAGCTGGGATAATAGAAAACCTGTACATGTTGTATTTCTCGACCTAGCCAAAGCATTTGACAGTGTCCCACCCACAGTACTGCTTCACAAGATCATGTCAGCTGGTATAAGTGGACCCCTACTCTCTTGGTTCAAGGAGTACCTGGAAGGGAGGCAGTTCTGCACTAAAGTGAACAGAATAAGGTCGGAGTGGAGACCCTCGACGTCAGGAGTATCCCAAGGAGCAATCCTAGGACCGCTTCTGTTCCTCCTGTTTGTCAACGATCTGCCAGACAAAATATCCTCACCCATCCTCCTCTTCGCTGACGACATAAAAATTTGGAGGGTGGTAAACGAAGAAGCCGATTGTGCAGCACTACAAAAGGACTTGCAGCAACTCGAGCTCTGGTCGTCGGAAAATGGCCTGAGCTTCAACCTGGAAAAGTGCAAAGTAATGCACATCAGTAAAAATGAGGCAAGTACGACCGACTTCCAGTACATGTTGAGCAACCGTGCTATCACCAGAGTGTCCATGGAGAAAGATTTGGGGCTCAACTTCTCCGACACCTTGGACACCAGCTCCAACTACAAAGGTATGACAACCAGAGCGAACGCCATTCTACACTTTCTGCGTAGACAGCTTGGCGCCCTCACTCCCGAACTCTTCCTCACCATTTTCAAATCCTACGTGCGGCCGCACCTAGAGGTCTTCAATACGGTGGCTCCTCCAACACTCAAGAGAGACTCTAATCTCCTTGAAAGAATACAAAGAACTGCAACAAAATCAGTTGTGGGGCTAAGGGGAAAGACGTATCCTGAAAGACTTAAACACCTCAACCTATTTACCTTGGGTTATCGCAGGAAAAGGGGTGACCTCATTATGGCATACAAGATCGCCCATCAGGCAGACCATGCAAACAAATCAATTTTGCCTGCAACTGAACGATCTTCACGAGGAAACCCCATTAAGATAGCACACCAGAGAGCCAACACCACACTCAGGTCCAAATTTTTCTCCCTAAGAGTATGTGCTTTATGGAATGCCTTACCGCGACACATCGTTATAGCTCCTTCAATCGACTCTTTCAAGAGGCGATTAGACAGTTATGTCACCTCGCATGGACTACCACGGACGTACTCAGGTAGTCACCAACCTCAGTAGCCCCCAACTCCCTCCTAACTACCACTCACTATCTCCCTCCTTAATACACCCACATTACCTACTAATTCTTCTGTAGGAACCAAACCCATGCGAGCATTAGCGCAATTCCGAAATAATTTTCTTTCATTCCATCTTTCTTTTTTACTCCTCCTTTTCTTCTCCCTCCCTTTTCGCTTCCCTTGTTATTATTTTTCATTCCTCTTTTTTATTCTCTTCATTCTTTTACCACTACCTTCCTATTCTCTTTCAGGTACCTACACAGACAGGAGTCGCGGCAGTTCCCCAAACTCCCTAGCAACCCGTAGCTCCCCAATCACTCTACAAATTACAACTTACTAACCCACAAAACATCCACCTCACCGAAGCTAAAAGCAAGAAATCGGAGGGGATTTTCTCGTCCACTGCAGGAGTGAACCGAACAACGAGAACCAAGTCCTAAGAACTAGATGTGGGAAATCAAAAACTATCAGTTTTCTACGCTCGCACTATCAATATTGGATATTGGATTGGAACCATTAGATATTGGATGTTGGATTTGAATTAGAGGGATGTTTAAAGTTTGTATTACATACTGCGCAGATGGTACTTTTCGAGAAGTTGAAAAACGAAATACCTTCAAGAGAGGCACAGTTTCGCGAAGGAGCTGTCTATATAGATCGATTTTACGACGTTAAACCGGTTTGTTGTGTCATTATTAAATGACTGTGTTTTATTCAGGCAGGAACTTTACTGAAATGTGATACTTTTACAATGAAGCACTGCTTGGAGCATCTGAAAGGAGTAAATAATTTTGAGATTTCAATAATTAAGTAGAGAGAAACTCCAGAGATAACTAAAAGGATGGGTAGATGGACGAATCCTGGTGTGGGGGAGCGCAGGTTATTCCATGCTCTTGTTAATGATCCTGAAATAGAAACAGCTAAAGTCATGAAGCATGGTGCACTTAGCAAAGACAGGTTTTTACTCAGTTTAGAATAATCATTCTGAAAATTTCTTAATTTTTTGGTAGTTTGTTTCACATGAACTTTTCTGACCATATTTGGATGACAAATGAAGAAAACATTTCTTCATTTATTTTTTGGGTTTATTTTAAAAAGATCCATAATTCAACACTGTGAACGCATAGTTTTGATGAGTCTGCTACGAAATTCAGAAGAACATTACGAAATTCCATTCACGAAATTTTATGGCACCTGTTATCTTCTGATATATCTAGCGGTCTGACAAGTTCCCTAAGTCATTTGAGCATGAGAAGTCAACAGTTACATTATGATGGTAATGTTATTTGTAGAATTTAAAGTCAGTTTAAACGCTGTGGCGAAAATTCAAAACTGACTTGTTTGATGTACATGTAATTACAGATCTCTTTATCTTTTCTTGAATATTAGCTTACGCTGTCGTTTGATGAACTGATCCATCATATCGAAGGATCTTTTGGGAATTGACTTTAGGTGAAGTTAACAGACAGAGAGATCAATTACTAATTCTTCTTGTTTGTAGAATACCCATGAGTGCAAGACAAAACAAGAACACCATAGGTTGGACAGATAGGAATAGTGTACTTGATAGACCATGTCAAAATAATGACTTAGATGCTTTCAGCTTAGCAAGTCCGTTAAAACTATGAAGCTAAGCAAAGTTGCTGAATTTCATCAGACCCCGGGATCTTAATTTTAAGCAACTATTTGTCACTATAGTCTCATTTCTTTAAAGTTTTGTCTCCAAATGGTTGATATGTCACTAATCATGCCTTCAAAGGCACACAAAATACTTTTCAGTTGCTTTGCATTAATATTTGTAGTAGATATCCATATGAAAACCTAGTTTCCCGTGGAACGTATTCCACTTTCTGAGGTAAGGATTTCTAATCGTTGATCACTCGGTGGGAGATGTGTAGGCTCACAGCGAATTTGTTCGATCTTGGTTCTTGAACTTTATATAATTAGCTTCGGACACAACCAATCCTAGCAGGAGAGAGAAAATAAAACAGCGGTAGTGAAATCATCACTAAGCACACGCGACTCCAGCCTTTTTCTTTGATAAGACAGCGGGAATGAATTCAGTCGGTCTAATCATTTCTAATATTACCGATTAGAATGGCCCACCACGAGTTCGTGTTTACTTCATGAATACGCTCAACAACGTCAGTATTTATTTTTAGATACACAGTGGTTGCCTGTGAGCAGTATTCTAATGAGGTGTTATCCATGAACATATTCCGAACATACCCTTACCATAACTTACGAAGCATATTTGTATGGACCATGGCTAACTGAAACCCCTTGCTGCAGCCGCATTGGAAACTAACGATTTTTTCATATCACAGGCTATTGTAGCATATAAGTCTTATAGTACTAAGACCAAGAGTAGTGGTGTACCGTCAGTGGAATACTGGAAATAAGTACTATGGAAAGTGCATATTATTTCACTTTTCCCAGAGTTCAGATCAACTTACCAACTCATCAAAGTCTTTAACAAGCGTACACCTATAATCAGCACTCCACAGGACTCCAAACTTTCGTATCGCTAACAAATAGTACCACTGAAAAGCTGAGCGTTAATGGTAGTTCACTGACATACAACAAATGAAGGAAAGAATCTAGAATTGTTCCTCCAGAGACTTTATCAACCTTGAGTCGTTTCAGTGCAGAAGAGAATACTTAGCCCTCACTCCTTGCCTTTTATTGTGCATAAATTCCCCAATAAACACTTGTAATGTAAAGCCAGGCTTAGAAGAGGCGAGCTTTTCTACTAAATTCACATGAAACACCTTGTCAAAAGGCTTGCTGGAGTGTATGAACATATTGTAAGTTAACGATTCCATGTCAATCAGCAACCGTTTTTGATCTCTCGATGAAGGGATTTGTTAAACAAAAGTGTCTTGTCTGAAAACCTTTTAGCTGTGGTGCTAAAACATTATTCGCCTCAATGTAGACACTCGACAAGAGTGACGAATCCCAAATCTGAGGAAACACGCATCCTGGATCCTACTACTAGCCACTGTCCACCCTTAAGTGTCCAAGATTGCCTACAAAAGTAATTCAAACCAAAACCAACAATGGTTTATTACCTTGTTCGTACAGTAAATGGTAAAGCATCATCTAACACCCGAAATATTCAACGGTTATGCTGTCTCTTTTGCCGGTTATCTGCTGTCTTCATCATTCCCAGCAATCCTTTTTGATTTTTGTATAAGTTACTTTCTTGAAGTGTTGCATTATAATGTACTTCTTCTTGAATACTTCAGGGCTTGTAAAGTCAGGATGATAATGCCCTCTTATTCCAAGTTCCTCATTTAGTCAACTTGTCTGGAATGGATTTACTTTGAGCCTCATTTACAATCCAACGAATGATCTTGGTGAAAAGGTGCAAGAAGGGACATATTTCAACGCAATCATTCATTTTTACCCACCATTATTTTTTATAATTTGTCCTTCGGGTTCCCAGTGGAACACTGGACTTCAGTAGCACGTCGCCATTTCACTGTCTTCTCTGAAGTTCCCTTAGCCTGGCTCTACGACTGCCCAACACCTTTCATTTCCCCCTCACACGATTTCCATGCCATCCTCGGATGCCCAACTTGTCTCCTCTTTGGGTTTCACTCGACGGCCTGACGCATGATGTCTCCAAACGGTCTTCTCAGTATATGTCCAATCCAATCCATCTCCACTTTCTTCTTCTTCTTCTTCTTCTGCATATTTGTCGGGCGACAGGTTGTTGGTTGGTTTTTTTTACCAGGTCAGAGTTCCTCCCTGCCTATTCTTTTCTGGTCATCTCATCTAATCTTCACTATCGAATGAGCGTTGGCGGCAGCTGTTGATGTATATCTGCAATCTGTTGGAAATGCTTTTCGTAACGCACCATATCTCTCAACCATCACATAGAAGCACTGAGATGACATTAGTGTTGAAAATCCGGATCTTCTTCTTGATTCTCAGTTGGGTGCAGTAGATCTGCACACTGATTTCAGGTTAATGACATGAGGCCTGTCTTGCTGCCTTTTCGATGCTGGCTTTGACATCCCCATCTGTGCCTATGCCGCCTGTAGTTGGTAGGTAGGTGAAAGAGACAACTTCCTTTAGATATCTCCCGTTAATGGTGTTTGGTGCTTGTTGTTGGTTGGGTATCTTCATCACCTCTGTCTTGCCTATGTTCACCTGAAATCCCGTCTTCGCTGCCTCTTCTGTCAACTTGTTAGTTTTCGCATGTAGATCTTCGAGCTTGTGCGACATTAGACATAAATCGGCACCGGCGAAATACTAATCTTCTAGGGTCTTTTCATCAGTCCAGCCAGTGTATGCCCAGCATCTTGTTCTTCTCAGTAATGACAGTCAGTCGAAAACTCCCATTTCATGTATTGAAAGTCAAATATAAACGAAGAATATTCATTTCACTAACTTCTCACCAAGTTATACAGTCATAAAATCGACTTCGATGGTAGTGTAGTTTATATATATGTATGTCATTTGTGGTGATAAGTTGGGTGTAAACTTTGTTATTTGATTGATGATCAGATGTATGGGGAGAAAAAATTATTAGTAAAGTTCAAGGTTGCAAATTGTGTCGAGTGAGTGATTAGTACAAAGAATGATGACGTGAATTCACCGAAGGACAGAAATGGAATGGATATTTCATCATAAGGTGGTTAATATATAAAGTGACCAAAATAATGAGAGTAGTAATAATGTTAAAGAAATTTTGAACATGAATTTTAAAGGTTCACTATAATCAGAGGGGAAGAAAATCTGCTTAAAGATAATGGCATTAATAATAATAATTTCGTTTTTCATTCTAAAAAGAAAGAAAAGAAGAGGATGGCAAGGAAGAGGAAAGATTAAGGAGGCAACAAAACGGTCAAGAGGAAACTGTCTGGTCCGTGGAATACCAAGGGCGGAGTAGGGATTGAACATTTTCTTTTTGAATAGATAGTTGAGGCATCGTCAATCTTATGGCTACAGCTCCTCCTATATGGAGGATGTGTAAATGAATGTCACATGGCAGAGTCTTCGGAACACGGTATATTACAGTGAGAACTGTGCTAGCATCTATTTGATGTCCTGTGTCTATTAAAGCTTCGAATGAATTTGATTTCATCTTTTGAAAACCGGGCCGGTAAATATTGACGTATCTTCAGACTGATGTTTCTAATAATGCGTCGTATACAACTTGTTCCACAGGAGCTGTTGAATTGGTCTGTGCATGATGATGAGCTGAAATTAGGTAAGGCGTCCTTAAGTCTCAGGTTGCACAATGGTTGGCCATTATAGGATAAGCACAGATGTCCTGAGAAAAACGTTCTATTTATTGCTCTGGATAGACGTTGTAATAAAATTTCACTTGGGGTATCACCTTTAAATTGCAGACTCAGAAACAAAGGTTTTTTTCTGCACGTTTGTCAATTCGTGTTTTTGAGTACTATGAGTGATGTTTGCTTTTATAAACTTCTCATGATATACGTTTCCCCTTAAAGTATTCTGAAGAACTTATGATTCTTTCTCAACACATTCTTCAGGACAGATCGATCTTGCTCTAAATGCTAAACATATGATAACATTTCGTTTGTTATCACCACAACTGGCATACATATATAAATTACACTGTCATCCACAATTTTAAAGAATCAAATTTTACTTATAACTCCATACATACTCGTAAATGCATTGGTTGTAAAATTCTGGCTGATGATATGTATTGACGAAGTTGAAAAGAATATTCCTTGTTCATATTATACATTTAATTATGACAGACTACATAATACGTTTGTAATTGATTTCGGGTAGCTGTGTTTTATTCACCCAACTTTATTTATATTGTATCGTATGCAGATCAACATTTTTTTCCTTCATATTTCGTGTTTTCAAAGCATAAAGGTTTATATTTCCATATTTCTCCGATCAACTTTAAAAGTCTTTGAAGGGGCATCTAATAGTGTCTTTGTTTTAATGTTGTTGTTTGTATTATCTCGTCGTTGATTGGACCGAATTGATCGGTCTCTGTTGATATGTGGGATCCTGCACGGATGCCTTCGATATTACCTGTATTTGAATTATGTAATGGATAGTGGCAAGCAACAACATTAAAACTATATCTTTCGAACAAGAAGTGGTTCGGTGGTCGAGTAGATAACGATATAACACTTGAAGCGATCGGTGGTGAGTTCGTGTGCTAATGGGAAGAAGATTGCTGACTGGGAGCCGGCAGGTATATCAAGTTGACGAGCCTTAACTAGGACGGATTACGCATCCTGGATTCCACTGCTAGCCATCAATGATTGTTCCTTTGTTTGTTACAGACAATGGATGCCTGAAGTGTATTCGTATCACTTTCTGTTCAACGTTTTTAGATAGTCATTTAAGGCACACATTTAGTCCAAACTAACTTCATCTGATTCTCTTCAGTTCAGTTTCTCAGATTATTCAGGAAGGGCTCACTTAGCACGATATACGAGTCTAGCCAGAGATAACTTTCTCAGCAAGTAAGCTGTTACAGAAAGTAGTTCTGTCTGTCAGTTAGCGAGAATTTCTCTAAATCGAATCCTCTGTCGCTTTATATGTTGTTTGGTCGATGAACTGTTTAGATAAAAAGGTGGGATTGACATTGTTATATGTGTATCCACAGCACTTTACGGTTTTTTCATAATAATAGCAATAACTTAAAGTACATCACATGGTAATGACGGATAATGGCTAGTAGCGAAATCCCGCATCCTATTTGGGACCTGTCGGTTGAATGTACCTACCTTCCAGTGAGCGATATTGTTCACACTACGAGTCGAATCCGAGACTGATCGATCCAAAACAATAGTGTTATCTTCTAAGCCACTTCTTGTGAAACGACGTAAAAGTATGTCATTACGTTTACTAACACATATCAATTCATTGTGTGTTTCTTGGTATTTGTGGTTCACAGTATGTAAATCCGAGAGTCCACGCGTCAGGCCCTCGAGTGGAATCCCCATGGGAAGCGACGAGTTGGACGTCCGAGGGTGACATGGAGGAGGTCATGCGAGGAGGAAATGAGAGGTTGTGGGCTGTCGTGGAACCAGGTTCAAAAGATCTCAGAGAACAGAGGTCACTGGAGGCGTGCTACTGAAGCCCTATGTTCCACTAGGATCCCAAGGGACTAATAATAATAATAAAAATAATAAAATCCGAGAGTCGCAAACAGTCGTATACAAACCTGATAAATGTATCCTTTAAATGTTGTTGATATGAAAGTGATAAATTATGGACCATTTAAAATGCAGACAAAAAACAGTTAAGGGACGAAAATGTGAATGAATTTATGTATATATAGTAGGGAATTCGGTCTGCTCAGAGATAACTACCATTGATGACGTTGGTAACATCCACTGGTCAGTGATTCTTTTCATCCAATTTTCCTAATTACTGTAACATTTATTCCAACTTACACTTTTATAATTCTCACCAATAAAATAATACTCTCTGTTGTGTTTTTTTGTAATTTTTCAATAACCACATAACCTTTCCTTTATTAACTATAGTCTAACTTAGTGGTCACTGGTAACTTGCTTCAAGGCGACAGTCGTGAAGTTCTGATGAGAAGTCATGACCGGTGGGGCCAACCAAGCTGTACATGAAGACAGTTGCTCAACGATGGAATTGCATTAACCTCCTGCTATATCATGAACTGATGGAAGTAAGAAATATGGACCACTGGATTCTGACCCAATGGTTCAATGATAAGGTGTTGGTCGCGGAACTTGAAAGTCATGCGCTCCACCTGTGTAGGGTGGGGTCACGAGTGCGCACTGCTCAGCAGTCACATTATTATATTATTATTATTATTAGTCCCTTGGGTTCCTAATGGAACATAGGGCTTCAGTAGCACGTCTCCAGTGAACTCTGTTCTCTGAAATCTTTTGAACCTGGCTCCATGACAGCCCATAAGCTCTCATTTCCTCCTCGCACGATCTCCTCCATGTCACCCTCGGACGTCCAACTCGTCGCTCCTCATGGGGGTTCCACTCAAGTGACTGGCCTGACGCGTGATGTCCCCAGTCGGCCTTTTCAGTGTATGCCCAATCCAATCCATCTCCACTTCCTTCCAGTGCATATTTGTTGAGCGATAGCTTCTTGCTTCGTTGGTTCGCTGCCTGCCGGCCAGCCAGCCAGAATTCCTTGTTGCTTATTCTTATCATTCTTATTATTCCGATCTTCAGTAACGAGCCAGTGTAGGTGGCAGTTGTTGATGAATATCTGTAGTTTGTTGGAAATACTTTTCGTAAAGCGCCAAGTCTCTCAACAATCACATAAAAGCACTGACTTGACTTGATTGGTGTTGAAGATCGGGATGTTGTTCACGCCTTATGGTGAGTGCAGTGCAGAAGATCTACACACTGGTTTCAGGTTAATGAAGGAAGGCCTGTCTTGTTGTCTTTCCGATCCTGGCTGGATTTGACGTCCTCGTGTGTGTCTGTGTCACCTGTAGTTGAAACAGTGCTTCCTAGATAGGTGAAGGAGGTTACTTCATTTAAGTTTCTCCTGTTGATGGTGATTGGAGTTTGTTGCTGTTGTTGGAGTTGTTGGTTGGGTATCTTCATCACTTCTGTCTTCTCTGTATTCACCTGAAGTCCAGTCTTCACTGCCTCTTCTACCAACTTGTTAGTTTTCACCTGTAGATCTTCAAGTTTGTGTGACATCAGACACAAGTCATTGGCGAAATCCAGATCTTCTAGGTTCTTTTCCTTAGTCTAGCCAGCGTATCCGCCTCTTCTCGCTCCCCACTGTTTGTTGCATGATCCAGTCCAGTCGACCACAATCAGGAAGATCATGGGGCAACCTTGTTTCACTCCTGTCTTCACTTCAAAAGCATCACTGAGCTTCCCATTGTGAATTATTTGTCATGTGGCGTCTTCATATAGTTGTTGAATGAGATTGGTAAAGGTTTTTGGTATTCCGTAGTATTGAAGCAGTTTCCAAATTACCTGTCGATCGACGCTGTCGAGGGCCTTTACAAAGTCGATGAAGTTGAGGTGTAGAGTTGACTGCCATTCTATACTCTGTTCTATGATGATGCGTAGTGTGGTGTTGCAATTTGGTGCACACATGATTTGTACTTCCTGAATGCAGGCAGTTTGTTGTGGTCGTAATTTTGAATTCAGTGCATCCTTTAGTCTCTCCAGGATGATGCAGCATAACATTATGCTTGGGGTGGACGAGGACAGCGGCATGATTCCGTGCCAGTTCTCGCAAAGGGTTATGTCTTTATTACTCGGGAGTTTGATAAGGTAACCCTTCTTTCCATCGCCAGGTATCTTCTCTTCCTTCCACACCTTCTGCAATAGTGGTGTGAGCATGTCAGCTGTTGTCTCTGCGTCTGTTTTCAGTGCTTCTGGCGGGATCCCATCTGGTCCTGCTGCTTTCCCATATTTCAGTAGCTTTATGGTGCTCAGGATTCCGATCATTGTTGGAGGATTTATGTTCACTTGTAGTTCAGCGGCTGCAGGTGGTATTTCTGGCCGAAGTGCAGGTGGTGGTCGATTCAAGAGCTTTTTGAAGTGGTCAGCCCATTGTTTCCTTTGTTTCTCTTCTTTCGTTATTAAATTTCTGTCATCATCTTTTATTGGTTTCGTCTGAGTTGATCTCTTCCCAGATAGCAACTTGGTTGTTTGATACAATGTTATCAGGTCTCTCCTACCAGCAGGCAGCCTGTTCTGCTTCACTTGCCAGCAGTCACACACTAGGATGAAACAGCTTTTGTCCAATGCTCCCATGTTTCTAATGCTTCTCAAACTAATGCCACTCCATGATGAATAGTAACCTGAAATCAATAATCTTATTATTTATTTATTTGTCCCTTGGGTTCCTAGAGGAACATTGGGCTTCAGTAGCACGCCTCCACTGCATTCTGTTCTCAGCAGTCTTTTGGACCTGCTACCACGACTGCCCATGATCTCCTCCATGTCCCCCTTGGACGTCCAACAATAATCTTATAAGCAACCTATATTTCACTAATTCGGTTACATTACTAAAGTAACCGAGAAACCTCAATGATCATCTATTTTCTGTTATCAATATAGCCTTTTAAAGGTTCATAAACTTTCGAAAAAGTGTATTGTTTTGTCAACTGGAATAATATTACATCTAATTAAGTGATGACGTGGCAATTTACGTTCCTTTGTTTGTTTTCAACTTATTATCATATGGCATAACATCTTAGGCCAAACGTCTGGTCTTAAAATGGTTGTAGTTACTTGAATAGCTTTTACGGAGAAAATATGTTGTTAAGGACAACCAACTAATTGTATAATACTACTTGGAATTAGCATAAATTATTTTGAATAAACTAGCTATTTATATTCAGACGCTTTATTCATGATCTAAGATTGCTTTTCCAACGTGCATACAAGCGCAAAACTCTTTACGTTGTATAAGCTAAGGAAGTGAAGAGGCTAAGTTTTCTGTTGGCCTTGTTATTCTCTCAATTTGAGTTGTCCTGAGTAGAGCTCTGTATAAGTGTCTAGATGTCATTTAAGGAATAGTTTCACAAAACCATCAGAATTCGTAAAACCTAAGCTGAAAGCATTACCCCTTCAAAACATTCATGTAAAAATTTACTTCATTTAATGAATAGAATTTTTCCACCTTCTTTCCTAAAACAGACTACTCTTTCTTCTCCTTTGTTTAGAACTGAAGTCAAAGATGTAATAAGACCACCTGAACCAACTGTATTAGGTGAAATGTTGACAAAAGTACGCGAAGAAATATACGAATCAGTTAAGAAACCTCTTGGTTGTTCACCTGTACAGAATCTACCTTCACATATTGATAAATATAAAACAACTTTTGGCATTAAACATGAACCAGGTGAAGTCAACACTAATATATATATATATATATATATATATATATATATATATATATATATATTGGTGTATGTGTTTCATTTTTACAATATGCGGAATCGTGCTGAGTATTATACTTGCTGAATGATTAAATCAGTTGGAAACATATAAGAGGTTTAAGACTAAAGATGCCAAGAAAAACTGGAAACCTGAGAACATTGGACAGCTGTTTCGTCCTAGTATGTGACTCCTCAGCAGTGTGCAATCAAGTTGAACATGAGGACAGTTACTCAGCAATGGCATTGCGTGGAGACCAGATGTAGGAAATATGGAGCGTTGAATTTCGACACAGTGGTTCAATAGTAACGTGGCGGCCGCGGAACCTGAAAATCATAGGTTCGACTCCTGGAAGACCGGGTTATGGCTGCGCATTGCTGAGAAGTCCTATACTAGAAAGAAAACGCTGTTGTTCAGTGCTTCTAGGCTTACAATGTTTTTCCAGCTGATTTTAATCCCTGATAAATATCAATCTGAAATCAATAATAGTAGTTAAGTGGAAGACTATATGAAACAACAAATGCCAATATCACTCAGGCTGTGATATAATACGTATCAAGAGAAGTGAAATAAAACTAAGGAAGAGCTAGATCTAACAATAATATGGTCACTATGATAAACCATATCTATTGTAGTAAAGGGGACTGTACAAACTATTTCTGTACATATATACATATGGTTTAAGATTATGTATTGCCAAGGCCTCTGCAATCCATCGTAAGTATATGCGTGCACTTTTTTGATAAGTTTGATCATTTATACTAGGTGATGATTAGAGGTGAAATGAAAATTTGAACCGGAGCCAGATTATTATAAAAATAACACACACACACACACACTTACAAACAAACAAATTTGTTATTTTCTACTCTAACTTATACATAAATAGGATTGTACACCTTTATCTATGAAAATAATGATTGAAAGAGTGACTTACCGATAGGATATTAATTCTTTGATTACCAGTGAGCACTGATTTGAGTTGCATGAACTGTCCCTAAAATTGCATAAAGTTGTGTCGTTCTAAGTTAAAAGCTGAGTGTCATATATTAATGATGGATAGTGGCTAACAGTAGAATCCACAACACACGTTTCGTCCTATTTGGGACTCGTCAGCTGGATACACCTGCCTCTTAGGGAGTGATGTTATTCCCATTAGGAATTGAACCTTGGATTGACCGCTTTAAACTCCAGAGCGTTATTCACTAGACCACTGAGTCACGATAGCCAATTCTTGTGCAATGAGTATAGTTTTATTGTTGTTGTAGACGACAGTATCAATGTGTGTAATGATACTTGGAATTTCCCGTTGCTATACAGAGTCGGATTTCTCGACTTCTGTTGAGAGACGCGTGCCTGTGCAGATGCGTCGATACTGCCCTGATATTTATTACATTGTAGTCTATTTGGTGGTGAGCAGAGGAATTTAGGATGTACGCTTCGTCTCAACTTTGGACTCGTCAGCTGAATTTACCTACAACCCGGAGGTCAAGCGATTCCACCTTGTATAGCAGTGGGAAATTAAAAGTATCAGTAAAAAACAGTTGAAACCCATTGTACAAATGGTGGCTCTCATGCCCCAGTGGCCTACAGGACAACGTTTTAGCGTTTGTAGAGATGAGTACTGGGTTCGAAAAGCAGTGGGAACAACACCACTCACTGGGATGTGGGCACATCCAGCTAATGAGTTCCAACTAAGGCGAAAAGCGTGTCATGGTTCCCATTGGCAGCTACCATCCATCAATAATATCTAAATCATTGTATCTACTATGGATTATATCACGTTATTTCAAATTGAATTACGATATTGTAGGTGACAGAGTCGGTGAATTAGTGAATCCACCTAGAAAGCGTGTTGATATAAAAAATCAAGAATTGGATGATCGTGAACATTATCTTGTTTCTCACAAACATTTATTACCTGGTGAACAAGCGCACAGAAGATATGAAAAGTGAGTTGACTTATCACATTTTGTCTTCCTCACTGTATTTCACACCCATTTCTTGTTATCTGTTAATAGAGTTAGTTTTACACAGTTGTTTTTTGTTCAAAAACAATGTAGATACTTGAATCATTGCGCTGTAAGCCAATCGGACCTTGAAAAATTGTTGGTATCCTTCGATGTCACAGCATTATATACATCCATCGAACCTCGACTGACCAAGAAAACCATGTCCCTCCTGCTCACTGAAGACATAAGCCTTTCAGAACGCGCAAAACTTGAATGTTCAAGCATCATGGAACTCATCAACCCTTGTCTGACTACATACTTCCAGTTCAGTGGCAAGATGAAAGAAACCATAATAGGATCACCGATATCCGGATTAATTGCAGAAGCAGTGGTGCAGAGACTAGAAGCCATCATTCTACCTGTGACTAAGCCAACAATGTGGATTCTCTCTGTGGATGATACCTTCCTCATCATCAAAAAGGGTGACTTAGAAAAAACTTACAGTCTGATCAGCAACGTTTTCAATGGTATCAGATTTAAAATGGAGAAAGATTCGAACAACCAACTACCATTCCTGGATGTTTTAGTCAGTAGAATAAATGCCGGAAAACTGGAAACCCAAGTGTACAGGAAGCCACCACATGCTGATCAAATCCTCAGCTGCAGTAGCAACAACCCAACAACGCTCAAAATTAGTTGCATGCAGACTGCATCCAAAAGAGCGAGAACAAACTGCAGTACAACAACTTCACAAAGAAATGAAGAAAACTACTTGAGGCCTATCCTAAAGCGCAATGGCTACCCACTAAAATTTATCAGGAGATGCCTATCCTGTACACCACTATCTACAAACGAATTCACAGAAGTCAACAAATGGATCATTCTACTGTAAATAAAGAATGTGTCAGAGATCATGACAAGATAATTAAAACCAACTGGAATTATACAGACCAAAGGACACAACAGTCAAAGAAGATAAACGAAATATCATTTACAAAATCAACTGCAATAACTGTGACCAACACTACATTGGACAAAGTGGTCTCCCTCTTCACCTTCGTCTGCATGAATACCAACTGGCTGTTAAATGTCACGACATTTCATCCCTCAATGGACGTGGATAACTATGGATATGAATTTTAACAATGTAGAAATCTTGGACGGTGGAAACACAAAGAATATCGGAAAGATTCTAGAGGCTTGGCATTCAAGTCAATCAGTAATCAGCAGATGTATAGGCACCGACCCAACCTAACAACCAATAAGAAAAATGATAAACAACAGAAAGGTCAGAGGTCAAACAGAGGAACAGCCAACAAGAAAATCTATGCAATCAACGACACAACAATCAAAGGAGATAACCAATCACAAACCAGATGGTCAGGGTAGGCTACTGAATCACTCACGCAGAGATACTGACAGTTCACTCCATACTGAAGTTAGTGCTGATGATGTCATTTAGCAGGACGTTGGAAGTTCCATGAATAAACAACTCAGCTCAGAGAACACAATACAACCCAGACCACTCAGGCTGATCATCGGCCAGATCAGAGCGATAAAAACACCGGCCAGCCGTTTCGCTTATTTATGTCCAAGCCAGTTAATCATTGGTATGCCCAGACGAATTAAGCTTATACACCCGAATTAGTTCAGATCAACTGAATCTGGGTGGCTAGCTGACTTGTATGAACGCCATACCCTAGAATAGGATGACCAATTTTCAAGTTATTTACAAACCACACGCTCCATGTTGATATCTGTTGCACAGTTAAGTAGTTTTCCAACCGCCCAATTGTGGTGCCATTTGGGTTTCTGTTGGAACCCACTCGTCAACCAACATCACAATGGTGTGTACAAATGTCTTATGAAAGCAAAGACTAAAATTATCACCTCAAATTTCCACACCTACTGGTATATATAAAGAAACTAATTTGGATACCTAACGAAAGTTTAGATGGTACGCTATACATAATCTTGAAAGAATTTTTCTTATCTATCATGTGATTGATATCAACAAGATGAAATAAAACAGAGTTTGTTATAGATTTTATCTATCCCTTTCCCAACCATGAAGGAGAGTGCTCAGTTACACGTCGGTTAAGTTGTCTAGTCTATGTAACTTTCTGTACACCAGCAGCTAAACTTGTAAATACACATAGAAATGGCAGAACTAGATAACTTATCTTTCATTTGAGTAACAACAAATGGTCCGCTGAAAAATGATAAGCAGAGTCGGGTACTTTGTGCCTACTTTTGAAATGAACGAGTTTTATTTATCATAGTTTGTAGCATAATTGTTTTTATACGATACCATAGTTGATTGGACAGAGTTGATCCGTCTCTATTGGCATATGGGCTCCTGTACGGATGCCCCGATATTGCCAGCGTTCTGTTTATGTTAATGATGGATCGTGGCTAACAGTGGAATCCAAGATAAACATTTCGTCCTATTTGGGACTCACCGATCAGCTGGATGTACCTGCTTCCCAGTGAGTGATGGATTCCACTGCTAGCCACGATCCATCATTAACATAAATAGAACGCCGGCAATATCGAGGCATCCGTACAGGAGCCCATATGCCAATAGAGACGTATCAATTCGATCCAATCAACGACGATATCATATAAAACAATTGTGCTAAAAACTATACCCGTCGCACAAGAAGTGGCTCTCATGGATCGGTGGTGTAGTGGATAACGCGCTGGCGTTTGAAGCGATCGCTCCCGAGTTCCAATCCCGGCGAGAACAACATCGCTTACTGGGGAGCAGCTACATCCAGCTGAATGGTGAGTCCCAAATAGGACGAAATGCGCGTCCTGGATTCCACTGCTAGCCACGATCCATCATTATAATACTTTAATTGTGCAATAATTTACCATTAGTTTCATAACATTTTCACATCTACAATCATGATATTTTAGTAGGCATATCATCTTTCATAGTCCATAGAAATGAGTAAACGTTTGCTACTGGTCAAAGTTGTTGTGCTTTAAGAGGCATATACTAATATTATTTGACCCTTTGGCTCCGAGTGGAAAATAGGGCTTCACTAGCACCCATCCATTCCACTCTCTTCTCTACAAACTCTCAAACCTGGCTCCACAACAGCCCACAACCTCTCATTTCTTCCTCACACTATCTCTTCCATGTCACCCTCACCCTCACCCTCACCTCGAACGCCCAACTCGTCACTTGCCATCTGGGTTCCACTCGATCAACTGTCGTGGCACGTGATGTCCCCAGTCGGCCTTTTCAGTGTATGCCCAATCCAATCCATCTCCACTTCCTTCCAGTGCATATTTGTTCAGCGATAGCTTCTTGCTTCGTTGGTTCGCTGCCTGCCGGCCAGCCAGCCAGAATTCCTTGTTGATTATTCTTATCATTCTTATTATTCTGATCTTCAGTATCGAGCCAGTGTAGGTGGCAGTTGTTGATGAATATCTGTAGTTTGTTGGAAATACTTTTCGTAAAGCGCCAAGTCTCTCAACAATCACATAAAAGCACTGACTTGACTTGATTGGTGTTGAAGATCGGGATGTTGTTCACGCCTTATGGTGAGTGCAGTGCAGAAGATCTACACACTGGTTTCAGGTTAATGAAGGAAGGCCTGTCTTGTTGTCTTTCCGATCCTGGCTGGATTTGACGTCCTCGTGTGTGTCTGTGTCACCTGTAGTTGAAACAGTGCTTCCTAGATAGGTGAAGGAGGTTACTTCATTTAAGTTTCTCCTGTTGATGGTGATTGGAGTTTGTTGCTGTTGTTGGAGTTGTTGGTTGGGTATCTTCATCACTTCTGTCTTCTCTGTATTCACCTGAAGTCCAGTCTTCACTGCCTCTTCTACCAACTTGTTAGTTTTCACCTGTAGATCTTCAAGTTTGTGTGACATCAGACACAAGTCATTGGCGAAATCCAGATCTTCTAGGTTCTTTTCCTTAGTCTAGCCAGCGTATCCGCCTCTTCTCGCTCCCCACTGTTTGTTGCATGATCCAGTCCAGTCGACCACAATCAGGAAGATCATGGGGCAACCTTGTTTCACTCCTGTCTTCACTTCAAAAGCATCACTGAGCTTCCCATTGTGAATTATTTGTCATGTGGCGTCTTCATATAGTTGTTGAATGAGATTGGTAAAGGTTTTTGGTATTCCGTAGTATTGAAGCAGTTTCCAAATTACCTCTCGGTCGACGCTGTCGAGGGCCTTTACAAAGTCGATGAAGTTGAGGTGTAGAGTTGACTGCCATTCTATACTCTGTTCTATGATGATGCGTAGTGTGGTGTTGCAATTTGGTGCACACATGATTTGTACTTCCTGAATGCAGGCAGTTTGTTGTGGTCGTAATTTTGAATTCAGTGCATCCTTTAGTCTCTCCAGGATGATGAGGCCTAATATTTTGCTTAGGGTGGAAAGGAGCATAATTTCGAGCCATTTCTTGGAAAAACTTAGGTCGATAAGAGACATATAGTTGTAACTATTGATTTTCTTAAAGTGGTAAAACACTTCACAGTAGAACAAACAGAAAACTGTATTACATTTCGTGGAATATACTTTGTTTTAAGCGTCAATAGTACAGAAGACTTCAAATAACTGAAATAAAATAAATTTTTGATTGCTTACAGTTCAGATCTTTTGAGTGGACAAAAGAAAATCCTTGTTACTACTGAGATTTTCTGGTTGAATTATTCACTTTACTGACAAAAGCATATGTTCCTCTTCATAATGAAAAAAGTGAACTAGTTGGTCGGTACTGTCAATATATTTGACTCCAGAACTGAAATATATAATATTTAAGTAGAGTTTAAGAGTAGAAAGCAGGTGAATGCTTAATTTTCTGAAGGAATGTCTAACAACTGGTCATCTAGTTTTTAAAAACAATATTAAGACGTATCATGTAATTGTGTAATCTACTTGCGTAACACATTCTGAACAATCTGATCACACATATTTGTCACAGGTATTTATATAAAAGCTTTTAAAAAGATAATGGGTGAGAATATTAAAAAAAGTCAAGCTGGAAGGGTAAATTATGGAACTACATTCTACCACAGTGCCCAAGTTTTTCACTTATATTAAGGGTAAATTAAACCTATTTGAAGGTTTGTGGAGGCTTATTAATTGATTTTAGGTTCTAACTCATAATGGACTGAAATAAGTTAGCGGAACATTGGAAACCTAGGATGACTGGACAACTGTTTTGTCCTAGTATGGGACTTCTCATGACCCATGACCCCACCCACCCCAAAAGAGATCGAACCCATGATTTTCAGGTTCCATGGCCAGCACATTACTATTGAGCTATTTCTGTCATTTCACGATATAGTGCTACCTGCATCCAATCTCGTTATCGGGTGACTGTCCTTATGTTCTAAAGGATCTAAGGATACAGCAGCATCAATCCTCTGACCTATCTCAACGATACATTTCGCAATCGAACCTATATTTACAGGTTCAAGTTATTCAGTTAGCTCCTAAAGCAACTTCTAAATGTGTTCTGACGACATTACTTGCATAGGTCTATAAGTCCTCCCCATGTAAGTGTCACAACATATACTTTGAATTGATAAAAGTAGTGGGATGTGACATTGTTGTTCACATGCTGTGAGGATAAACTGGTTTGGTGGTTTTTATTAACCGGATCCTAGCTACATAGTACGTCCGTCTAATGGTAGCGTTTAAACCCTCTGCTTAAGGATTACTCTGAAAGTCACCTTTATATGAAAGATTGATGAAGATGTCTTTCTTCAGGACAAAGTGAAGAGCAGGGGTCGGCTTTCTGGATACTTTGTATTGGCTGATAAGTTTTGATGGCAGTTATTTTCCAACAGTGTTTCAGTCCCTGTTCTTGTCTAGTCTTCCAAAGTATCATCTGTGCATATTTGTTGAATTGTATTAAATAATTACCAAAATAACACTCACTTGCACTGAAATGGGTAAAATCTATAGTAATTCAAATATAACCCTGTTTATGTAGGTTTTCTGTAAACAGATCGTTTTAAGGATCCATTCTGCCTCTGAATAATTAATGTATCGGTTTTGATTTGAAGTGGACCGACTTGAATGGTCATGTTTAATTAGGATATCACCGATATATCTTCAGTATAAATGGACTTTCTCAACTAGGTTCCCCATTAACTTTCCCTAATTTGTTTCTATAAAGGGGTCTAAGGGACTTCTCATGGCAACACAATTAGTTTGACAGAAATCTTCATCCTTGAATGTAAATTTATTGCTCCTTTTACATAAAAGTGGTCGCTCTTTTAAGTGATGCAGAGATAAAGACAATGGATAATTATGACAATTTACTCGGTTGTAGTTACCAGAGGAGTCAAGGACGCATGTTTTGTCCAGATGCCAACAGAGGGTCGAACATTTCCATCCAGTTTAACAAAAGACAAGTAGTAATGGATAATTATTCATACAGATGTAATGACACCAGTAAATTATGAGTTTACGTTTAAGTCTGTTTAGCGTTGATATCGCATAGAAATGTTACTGATACAAGCCTTACAAATATTTCCTGATATTGAGGTGAATTTAAAGGTCTATCCTGGTAACTACTGTAATAACCAATCAGGTTTTTGTATTCCGTCAAAAAAGGGTAGTTTCTCGTAGAATATTAAAACTTAATTGGTTATCTCAGAAGTTAATAGGGTGGCCTTTAAAAATTATTCTGATATTGACATAATATTCTTTTCTTTTGCTATCTCTTCTTATCATTGAAAAAAAATGTATCTATACCTTAAGCTTTGATAAGAATCAAGTATTTGGTATCCATACTTATTGTGATCCAAGCGGAATACACGTACGTCATGCTATGAATTGGATAGCTAATACTTCAACAAGTACACCAATAACGAATCAAAGACAAATAGATTTTAAAGAGAAATATGATCATGTTTTGGGCAAAGTGAGAGATCCGTAAGTTGATAATTGGTGTTAAAAACTATTATTTTTCCCTAAAAAAAATGAAAGACTTACTATTTTATTCCACTTAATACACACATACTATGAGAATATAATTCATTGAAATGAGCTTAAAAAGAATTCAGGTTAATTTGTAGCGATTATATACTGTAATCATGAAACCAATAAAAGATGATGAAAGAAATCTAATTATTAAAGAAAAGAAACAAAGGGAACAATGGGCTGACCACTTCAAATAGCTCTTGAATCAACCACCATCTGCACTTCGTCCAGAAATACCACCTGCAGCCCAGCCATAGAACTACCAGTGGATACAAGCCCTCCGACGAAAGTCGAAGTCTTGAGCACCATAAAGCTACTGAAATGTGGGAAAGCAGCAGGACCAGATGGAATCGCGCCAGAAGCACTGAGAACCGACTCAGAGACAACAGCAGATATACTCACACTACTACTGCGGAAGGTCTGCAAGGAATGGAAGGTACCTGCCTATTGATTGGAAGAAGAGCTACCTTGTCAAACTCCCACAGAATGGTGACCTAAGTCTTTGAAAGAACTGGCGCGAAATCATGCTGCTGTCCACCTCAGATGAAATGTTTGCATGAATCATTTAGAAAATAATAAATTCAGCAAACAGATGAATAAGTAATCATAATGTCTACCAGTTCACCTGCTCATGTTGAGCAAGGTACATCGACATGTTTACGAGAATATATTCCAACCTGGTTTAATAAGCGTGAAAGTTCTATCCTTGAGGATTTAATCGATTCTAACCATTCAACCAACCCAAACGAAGATTTTAAGGTTGTCTATCAAATTCCATCAAATGCCTTGCGTTTCCTCCGTGAACAACTTTTAAAACACCAGAGACCTCGGCTATCCATGAACTGAAGCCTGACCTTCGTGTGTAAAAGAAGTATGTAGAGTCTTTGTCTCTATCTTGGCCTTAATTTATTTTGGTCCTAGAGTACTTCGTTCTTTTTTCGCTTTTTCGACCCCTCCCCACAGCCCTCCTATTTTTGTCCGATTAATCTTTGCACTATCATATCGTCATTACCACTTTATTTTTACATTTAATAGTTTCAGGTGTTATTTCATTCGATTTTCCTGATAATTGCAACTTTTAACAAAACATTTTCAGCTTATTCCAATTAACTTATTTCACTCATATTACCTAATCCTTTGATTTAGAGGTAGTATTCATCATGAATCGACATCAGTTGGGGAACCATTGAAAACCTGGGAGCACTGGACACCTGTTTCGTTCTACTATCAGACTTCTCTGCAGTATGTATCCACTACCCGGCTAGGAATCGTACTCAGGACCTTCAGGTTTCATGGAGAACGCGTTAACCATTCAGCAATCCAGTGTTCCTAGATTTTCAATGGTTCTCCAACTGTCAGTCCATGAAGAATACTACTTCTAAATTCAGAAAAATCCCCATTCATCTTAAAAATACATAATCTTTTGATTGTTTAACTCTATCACGTTTTTACCCTTTTTAATCTGTGTGCACCATGTAAACGACCTAAAATTTTACGCGACCCTTTTTGTTATTATTTGACGTTTATGTCTTCAACTAACAACAATATAATTATAATCATCATGAATGTATTTTTTAGATGTATGGGGATTTTTTTAATTAAGTAGTATTCATCATGGATTGACATCAGTTAACGCCTTTGCCGTGAAACCTGAAGGTTCTGAGTTCCATCCCTAGCCGGGTCGTGGGTGCCTACTGCTGAGGAGTCCCATACTAGGACGAAACAGCTGTCCAGTGCTCCCAGATTTTCAATGGTTCCCCAAATGATATCAGTCCATGATGAATGCCACTTATAACCACCATTATTATTATTTGGACCCCCCGCCCCCCGCATTATTTAAGTGAATGACAATAACCCAAAAAACGGAGTATGTTAACTTGAGTTTAATGGACTAAAATCAAAGCTTTGTGTAAATTTAAAAGCTTTTTCTTTTAATAATGAAGATGATGAGAGATGGTGTAATCGGATATGAGTAGAGTTATTGGATTTGTGAGAAGTTAACGACTTTTCTTTTTTTGGAGGGACGAATCTGATTTCAGCGAAAAGGAGAAGATCAAGGCTATTGATTACTTTTGAAAGATTTTAAGATACCAGCTTGAAATCCTTTCTTTACTAAGTATCTAGTAATCACCCTGGTGAAACTGTTGAATTCACTTAGTTGTAGGCTTTTTAGAACATGTTCAAAAACATCTGTGGTAGGCCGTTATTTCTGCCCTTTCTGGTATGCTCACTTAGGTAGATGCACATGAATTCGTAAATGCAGTTGCCACTTGAAAGAATGGTCTTTGCTGGTATCTAGTTTAACAACAAAAAGTGAAGTGGCTGAAACCATTAACCATTTCACTCAAATAGGCAGTCAAATCAGCCCTGGTAGGGAGCAGTGACTAACGAAATCTCTTCACGGATACAAAAGGCTAGATCGGCTTTCGTCAACTTATGCCACTTCTGACGCCACCGTGATATCCTGTTGCCTATTAAGGGTGGAGTGAACCGCAATGCACTTTGTTCTATTCTTCTCTGTATCTGTGAAACGTGGCCATTAAAAGTAGAGGATATGAGAAGGCTTTCGGTATTCGACCACTATTGGCTTCGTACCATATGCTACATGTCATGGTGTCACCACGTCAGTAATGCAGAATTCAGGTGTTAATTTTTATGGAGAAGAGGAAAGTCACTTAATGAGATTGCGAACCATGATTGGCTCGAGTGGCTGGGACATGTGTTACGCATGCCTCATGCCCATCTGCTGTATTGGACAATTTTAGCTGAAGTCGGTGTAGGCTTGAAGAAATTCAGAGGTGGACGAACTAAAACATGCCATCAATCCATGAAATCTTTGACTGTTGATCTAAGCGGCGTAGAGGAATGTAGACTTCTCTACTGGGGTTCATATGACAACAGAAACGAGTGGTTATATACTCTAGATGATATGACTCAAAACCAGTCTCGATAACGCAGATATATCCACACATTTTCTTCATATAAATCATCATCCTGAATTCAATATTCTCTTATTCCGCCGGTTGGAAACAGATTTGTAAGTGCTCAAAACACACATTATTACTATTTCTAGGATACCCTACCTGTATGGGATTGTTAATTTCTGTGCTGACTGGCTGACTGAACTGCCATCATCAAAATCATATTCAATTTTGTGTTCATTACCAAATCTAGAACAGATGCTAAAGTAACACTAACTGTCCGTTTCACACTTTATGCCTTCATTACTGTTATTATTAACACTAGGCAGATGGTAATAATTATTTCTTTCAATAATGTTGTACAGAAAGAGAATTTGTTGAAATATTCTATGCTGAAAATTCCGTACTGTATCGTACATGCTATTTGGAGTAAAGTGAATATTATTATTATTATTATTATCATTATGGTTATTAGTTTCCTGCTTGACGTGCTAATATGAAGTATGGCGTCTACGATCATTATGCAGAAATGCCTGGTCGTTTATGTTAATTTGGATGATGATGATTTCTTGAAATGACTTTCGTCAATGATTACAGTGGAAATATTGAAAAATTTGCTGAATATATATGCCTTAATGATCTTCTTGACTATTAGATTAAACTGGAACCATAAAGAGACAGTACCACACAAAAGTGGATTAATTCAAGCTAGGTTATTTTAAATTATTCCAGGTAGAGTGACTTCAGCATTCAGGTGTATTTATCATTTGTACCAGTTTTTTTATTATTTCATGTTACCCAAGCATTTATCATCTGTCAATTTTGAAGTAAATCAGATTAACAATTATTAGATGTGAGAACTTTTGTGGAGTCTATTTGTGTAGTTTACCTGGAAATACTTAAGAGGTAGTGCTGTATTATAGGCAACTTGAGTTTGTGTATTTACGGGGATTTACTGATTTTTCTAGTTTGTATTCATCATGAGTTGACATCAGTTGGAAGAGCATTACAAGCCTGAGAGCACTGGAAAACAGCTATTTCGTTCTAGCATGGGACTCCTTACCAGTGTGCACCCATGACCCCACCCTCCACGGTTCGAGCCCGGGACCTTCAAGTTCCATGGTCAGCACGTTACCATTGACCCACTCGGACGGAATCATGTGGTTCATATTTCCTACTTTTGTCAGTTCACTATACAGCGCTACCATCACCCAGTGTCATTGCTGAGTATTTGTCCTCACGATCACAAGGTTTGCTCCATCGATCACGACTTCTCGTTGAAACTTCAGGAATCACCTCTTGGAGCTAGTCACCAATGAGGATTAGATCAATTGAATTTTGGAGTCTGTGGTGATTTAGGGATTTTTCAAGTTTCTTTTCACCACGGATTGACATCTAGTGCTTATTGGTGACTACCTTTGAGGGGTGATTCCTGAAGTTCCAATGAGAAGTCGTGATCGATGGAGCAAATGTGGTGTCCGTGAGAACAAATACTCAACGATAACATTGGGTGATGGTCACGCTATATCGTGAACTGACAAAGGTAGGAGATATGGACCACTGGATTCCGATTTAGTGGCTGGCTCAATGATAACGTGCTGGCCGTGGAACCTGAAAGTCGTGGGTTCGATCCTTAGTGGGATGGAGCGGGGTTATGGGTGCGCACTAATGAGAAGTTCAATACTAGGACAAAATAGCTATTGTCCACTGCTCCCAAGGTTTCCAATGTTTCTCCAGCTGGTGTCAGTCCATGATGAATACCAACTTGAAAAAACCTGAATGTTGATTCTCATTAGTAAGAGATACATATACACCTTCCTGGAAAATTGATGTTTTGAATGAAAGCATGTGTTTTCAAGATTCTTAGTCTAAAGTAGTACCAGTCCCCCCAGATATCTGGCTGAATATTGGACAATTAAAATGTCTGAGGGTACTATCTGAATCATTTCGCGTACACTGCAGATAAGGTGAATCTGTGAGTGAGTGAAACCGATGTTATGTTCATCTTCATGACTAGCGATGGAATACAAG